TCCTCTGTTTTTCATTTTTCCAAGAATCCTCCTCCCACTCTTCCAGTTCCCGGAAGGAAGGAAGCTTCCCACCGTCATGGTCTAACTTCCTCCGCTGATGCCGGGTATGCGGAGGAGTTCGATCACGAGGCGGTGGCATATTCTGTGCCCTCATTGCCTCCATGAGTACTGCCAGCGCTCTTGCCACCTCCTCCGAACTGGGCCCCGTCAAAGGGGTCCCCGGCCGAGTGTGGTAATGAGGCCGTGCAGCCGATGGTTGGCTTTGGGACACCGAATATGTCCTATGATCAGACTGACCCCTGCTAGACCGAGAGTGGTCCGGCCTATATTGGGAGTCATGCATTATAGGAGATAGGGAATTCTCCTTGTGTGATCCTCCCCCCGAGCCGGCACCCTTGGGAGAGTTCCGGTCCGGCGAGGGCGATGGTGTAGGGGTTTTAGGCTTTTCGCCCGCTCCTTGACGGAGGCTTTTGCTCTTGCGGTTCTTAGCCATGGCTGCTAAGATAATTGCAAGATGATCTTGGTTAGGAATTTGGCTTAAAGATTTTTGAAAGTCTTCCCCACAGACGGCGCCAAATTGTTTCGGTTGAAAACAATGGGACCTTGCCGAAGGTCCACTAAAATGGAGAAGACTGGATTCGATCCAAGCTGTGTTGGGCCGAAGGTTTCCTGCACAGTTAACACACGTAAACTAGCCTCGGGGGTGTTTCCGAGGAAGGCCCCTCCGATGCTAAAGTCAGTACAATGTGTAAAAAGGAAGACACTATGCAAGAGAGTTTGTAGCTTGAGGCTTTTGTGGAGTATTTCTCAATGCAAGAATGAGCATATGAGTTGGAATAATCCGTGTATGAGATAATGTATGTGATGATGCATGTGTTGTTGTGTCTGATAGTGTATATGATGTTATGAGATGTCGTTGTAAGAATATGACTCTCTCCTTGAATGTGTTAATATGAGGGCTTTTATACCTCATCATATTTGGAGAGGTTGGGCTTTAGCCCAATTGGCTTACTTTGTGGGCTGACTTTTGACTTTTGAGCAATTGGAGAGTTGAACCTTGACCTTGGGCTTTTAATTGGATCATTTAGTGCTCAGGCCCAATTTTGACTAAATTGGACCCAAACAATTTATATATTAAATATAATTTTTAATTCACTTGAATTATGCTAACCAATGATATTCAAAGATTTTCATAACTTAATTATAGATAATAAGCACCGTACACCCATAATTATAGATAAGCACCCTCACCATATAAAGTTGGTGTAACTAAAAACTGGGCTTACTATAACAATATAGCACATCAAATGTAAAAGATATTTCAATTTCAACGCTTTGGACACTCAACTACATAATATATTGTTCAATTCATCTGAATTACAAATGGATTGCACATCATCCATAAAAGTATTACATTAAAAGTGATATTCCTTGTCTTGTCCAAAGTAAAGTAAAACTAAAACCCTATCAAAAGCCCTATACCCCCTACACCAAAAGTGATATTACTTGTATCCTTGACTTGTCTTGAACAGTATTTCTTACTCTCTCTCTCCTATCTCAGTCTTAATAAAAGCCATTGGATGGAAACTATTTATTAAACATTTGATACTTCATTACCATGTGGTAGCTAAACAATTGCGTTTGTACAATAATACAATGTCGTTTACTCCATAATGCACTAGTCATGTGGATTGATTAAGGGCCTATTCTCATACGCTTAATTTCACTTCAGTTTAGCTCTAATAATTTCAGTTTAGCTCTAATAATTTCGGTTTAGTTTAGTTCAGCTCTAGTAATTTAAGTTCAGTTCAATTCAGTTCAGCTCCTAAATTCTTTCTCTTATAAATATTCAGTTGAGTTCAGCTGAGCTCTAATAAAGTTAAGTCTAATTTAGCTGAGCTGAGTTAAGTCAATGAGAACAAACCCTAATTCACTATTAGCAGACTAAATGAAAGCACTAATAAATCAACAGACAAACCAAATTTAAACCATACTTTCTATATGATGTTACCATCTAATACCTTTTAATCCAGAGAATGCAGTAATCATAGATGTCAAAATCATAAACTGTTAACACAAAATAAATGTTAATACAAATTATAGATCATACACAGTTACACACATATCATTAGGTTGTACAACATTCACATAACTAACAAATAAAACATGTTTAAAGCAAAAGTAGGTTAATTTGACCTCATTATTCTTCACACAAGCAACAAGAAGAATGTCAAGTCCCCATCGTATTCGCGTTTGATCTTAACAGCCAATCCTTGACCACTGAGAATTTCATGCTTGTCAATGTACCCTTTGACGCCGGCTATAACACAACGGGTGGCCTTCATTTCAAAACAACTATCAAATTTGAGACGTGTATTATCTGCCTGCAACCCTGACAAAGGATAAAACTAGGTCGTCATCTAATTCTCCCTTGCTCAAACTAAATTTGTAAACGCTTAACAAACCTTATACGAGTATAGAGGCAAGTTAAGGGTCGAACCCAAAGGAATGAATCGGAGCTATGCTAAAGTCTAATGTTAAGCTAAATCAAAGAATTATCAATGTTTGAGTTGGTGACTAGAATAACAAGAATCTAAACAATTTAAAGAATTCAATCAATATGCTAAAAACTAGGGATATAGGTTCCACATGCAAGCTTAACAATCATGCTAATTGATAAATCACCCAATTGATTAAAACATTGCAAGGGACAAACAATAGTTGCAATCAAAGGAATTCAAAGGTTATCTCCTATAAACCAAGCTAGGGTTCACTATGAATGGCTAACAAGGAGAATCACAATCAAATTCAATAAATTAAAGCAATTCTCAAATCAATTGTTCGTGTCATTGAAATTTGCAATGCAATCTAGATTAATCTTATAGGTTGATCACTCCTAGTCTAATTAATCACATGCACAATTATGCCAATCAATTTAGTTGCAACAATTCAATCAATCAATGATCATCAACTAGCAAAAATCATCAATCAAGCATGCTTCTACTTCTCCCTAGCAACTAATCTACTCACTAATCATGGTGAAATTTAATGCCAAAGCAAATTCAATCACAAACATATTCATCTCAAGCTAAATCAAAAGGAAATAAAATCAGTAAACAAATTCTCAAAATTAAATCAAAATACAAACCAAACATTCAAGCATAAAAGTAAATTGCAATTGAAGTAAATTCAAAGGAAAGAAATCTCACAAACTTTGATTGATATGAAGAAGAATTACAAACTTGATTGAAGAAGCAATGTTGAATTACAAATCAAATCCAAGGATTACAATCTCTACTTTCTCCCTAACTTCTCTCTAGTTTCTCTCTCTAAAAACTAAGCAAATGAAATATTATCTAAAATTTATCCTTCAAAAGGATTTACAAGAGTATTTATAAAGAAAGAAGAAAAAACTTATCGGTCGCGCCCTCTCCAAGAAAACCTTGCGGGCGCGCAGAAATGGGTACGGAACCCATAACAAACTCAACGGGAAATCTAGGCAAAACCCGCGCCCGCGGGTACTATAGCTCGCGCCCGCGGCAATACCACCCGCGCCCGCGGCTCAGAGCGCGGCAGATGCCCTGTTCCAGGTGAAGCATGGGGGGTGCGGTCTCTCTATCTGGAGTTGTCTCTCCATCCGTGGCTAGGCCGCGGTCAGGGCGCGGAGAGTTCCTGCCCAAAATCACCAAAATGATGCACATAACCCGCGTCTGCAACCCTCAGGACCCACGCCCGCGGTAATGAGAAGATGTAGAGCGCCCTCTTCGAGCTCTCTCCAAGCCCTCTCCAAGAGGCTTGAAACTCCTTTGCTTAGCTCTTTTTTCTCCTCTTGAATTCTTTGTGAAGCTAAGTCCTTCAGCACCTACAAGAGAAACCAAAGAGAGACAATAGAAGAGAAAAAGAGCAATATAAAGGAAAAAACGAAGAAAAACACATAAAGGAAAGTAAAACAAGAAGGAAGAAGAAATAGAGAAACTAAAGGAGAAATGACCAAAATGATAAAAGAAAAGCATGAAAAATATAGTGAAAATATCCTAAAACACTGCCCTATGAGTGCCATAAATGACACTCATCAAACCCTACCTTCGTCTTTTCGCCTTCATCCCATATATAAATATCCATGTTCTCATCGAAGTCGTTATAGCGTATGCGTCTTTTGGCGAACTTTACGGGGATATTCGGTACATGTTTAAGTTTAAGTGAAATGATAAGGATAACACTGATTACTATCTCACAAATAAGCTATCCTATCTTAAAAAATTCTTGTAACCAGGCAATGGCAATAAATATTTAATATTAGAAGGACTTACGGTTAAATTACACTATTTATTTAAGAACACTATTTATTCAATACTAAAAAAACATACATAATGTCGTTCTGAATATACGATCTTGTGAACATCATTCCAAACGCCGGTTTTATTGCCTTACTCATGAAAAAGTTTTCCACTCTCTCTTGCACTTGAAGCTGCTGATGACGAACCTTCAAGGGAAGATTTTCTTCCCTTAGCAGACCACCAATCTAAAATCTCTGGGATCATAGTTATCCTCGGGATGGAGGACAAACGGAAACCTTTTAAATTTAATAGGCATCTCTCCATTGAAGCACTAGTTAAACTTAAGGATATCCCCATGTTCTACCCCATTGTCGCGTACAAATGCATCCCACCCTTTACTGATGAAGTAAAATCCTCTAACAATAGTCATATGAATGTCCCAACTTTTTTGACCTATCTTTCCCCAATACAATTTATGATGAGGCGCGTCCCTTGTGTAATTACCAAACCAAGTCTCTAATAACTGCAATAATTATGCAAAACATATATATCATTGACCTCTCTATGTACAATGAAAGGCAAACACAAGGACATGGAAAATAACAAATAACAAAGCATTTGCGATCCTATGTAAAACAGGGAGCTATATTTGATCTTTTGTGGTGTTTGTGGTTGTGGCGGTTATATAGAACACCTTTGCTAGAGGACATTTTTATAATTGAATAATATAGAACGCCTCTCCTAACTTACTGTTGTATTTTATTATATTATAAAAAATAAAAAAAATGAGCAAAATCTAAGTAGAGTGCCTTTGAATGATGATAGTTTGTAGTTAGGTCAAAACAGTTCGAGAAATGTTCTATTTATTTTACCATAAATAAAAAATAAAAATACTTAATTAACCCAATTTTAACCTAAATCTATGTGCCTACATCAGTTAAATTCCATATTTCTCTCAAAATCTCATCCCTCCATTTCCTACAATTCCAATTCCCCATTATCTTCATCATCTCAATCCCACAAGCTTCACGTCCCACTGTCTCAATTCCCCCATCATCTCCTAAACTGTAATAATCCCATTTCTTTGTCGGTTTTCTGAAATCAATCGCTCCTCTATAAGCTTCTCATTATCACCATCGTTCTTCACCAAAACCTCCTCACCTCCACCTTGGATTCCCTCCTCTTCGGCTCCGATTTTATTATTGGTTGTGGCGCATCCTCCAATTTTTCGTCTTTTGATTTCTTCGTTTAATTTCATGGTATTTTTCATTCCTGGTATAACTAATATCTTCTGAATTTTCACCTTGATAATTGCTTTAGAATTCGATAATGTTATTGAAATTAATTAGCAAAATTTATAATTTTACTGATTTGTTTTTCAAAATTAGTCAATATATTCCTTGGTTTTATTTAATTTTCGATATGATTTTCTTCCATGTTGTATTTCTTTCATATAGTTTGATTTTAGGGAAATTAGGTTTTTTCAATTAGTTCAATTTTTAAGATATTGGGCTCAATTTTTGTGTTTTTGGTAAAATGAATAAGAAGTTTATATAATTATATACATGTATTGTTCAAACATATTTTACTACTTTGAAAAAAAGAATTGAATTTTTTCATAATAATTTTTTGCTTATAAATTTACTCATTCGCGAAGACCAAAATTGATCTTTTTGCAATTATTAGTTTGATTCCGAACAACTCATCATATTTCGTGACCATGGGCTGTGGGTTGCTCCGTCTTCAGTAAATTATTTGTAATTTGGTTTTGAACGATGTTAGTTTGAGTAATGAGTATGGACTTCCTTTTTCAGAAAGAAAAATTTGTTTTCTTTTGATTGTGTTATAAATTTTTTAATCATTTTTTCTTTTGGCCTTTTGATTCAGGTATATCAACGGAATCAATGAAGAAAAGTCGATTAAATTGATGCGCACATTTTTTTCTCATGTTTCCACATTACACTTCAATTATTGTATTGATTTTTTTTCAAAAGAATTGTATTAATTAGTAGTAATTTTCGAATATTGAGTTATAAATCTATAATGCTCCGCATCATGTTGTTTGATTTAGTCTACTTTTACGGAATCAGAAATATTAATACAGCAAAATCATGTGCTGGCAAATCATTTAAATATGTTCAAAATTTTTATTTTTATTTTTTTTAAAAAAAAAAGCAAGGAAAAGAGAACTGTTAAGTGAGATAGGCGTTCAGTTTCATATAATTATAGTACGGCTAACACTAGATAGGCGTTGTCTATTTTATTTTTATACATAGAATTGGAGTTGTCTATCTTGGATTGGTGTTATGTAAGGCACCCCCACTTGAAGAACGCCTGTAAAGCGTTCTATATTGCCTATTTCAAGCGTTCTATGTAACCTATTTATTAGTAGTGTAATTTTAATAGATGTAAAGTTTTTGAGCAAGCAAGCCCCAGTCAATTACCCTGATTGGCGAAAACTTGTTTACTAGGCCCTATTATGTCCCCTGCTATGCCATATAAAATAATATGATAATATTTTGTACTATCTTTTACCAAATTAAAAAAAAAAAAAGAAATCTCTAGCTAGCCCACCAGCCACCACGAGCCACAACCAGGTCTCCAAAACCAGATCTACGTCTAGTCGGCCACCTCATCGACGACCACCGGCACGTCTTCTTCTTCAACAACAATGATGGAATGCCCCTAACACCGCTTCGCGGCGGTAAGTATTAGTAATATATAATTATATACACATAGTTTTTGTAATGTATAATTTGGTAATTCATAAAGTACAAATCAAAATTAACACACAGTATTTGTAATATATAATTATATACACATCATAGTATAATTGCATAGTGGATGACACCAACAAGTTATAAAGGTTCATATTACAATTTGTCTGTATTTACACAGCCATTAGCCATTAAATACAAAGACAAGCCAACCATGATACGGTTTTTAGGCTAAGAGATGTTAAATTCCACAGGATCCTTGTTCATCAAATGAACTTCAACTCTCCGGCTAACGCGAAACTTTTCACCTCGTACCATATTATTAATGTCATAGTTAATATAACAAAACACAATCTTCCCATATGTGATAACTTTAAAATAAATATTTTCTTCCCAACTCTTCGTATGCCATAGTGCAACCGACGAACCGTGTTGTAAGTGTCTTAAGTGCTGTCGTGCAAATGCCAAAGGCACATTCTACAAAATATAATATTATGAGATAAAATGTAGAGTTTTAGACATACAATATCTCATTAATTCATTAGAGTTACAACAATATTAAAATATAATATAGTTCCAACAAAAGAAATCGATGTGCTCTCATGTGAACTTACTAGTTTATAGGCATTTACGTAAGACCATGTGAAACGTGCCATAAACTTGTGTACCGGATCTGCTGATTCCGGTTGATGTAACTTGTTTCAGGCAAGTGGGAGATTGAAGGAATTGTGTATTCGATAAGTGCAATTACTAGATATATCAAGGATCGCTATTATGGAGATAATAAGTTCGTTCTTTTGGGTCGTCATCATCTATTGCTATGAGTGATGATCTTTGGACTAGGCAAATGGTCCGAAGCCCGCTAGAATGGATCCTATGAGGTCACACACAAGGGTATTGGGTTAAGCAAGTTAGAGGCCCATTAATGGGCCTCATAAGCAATTAATTAATCATGAAATGGATTGGGCTAGCATAGTTAGATTAGAATTAGGTTTTGGGCTTTTGACATGGGCTCTTATTTAGAGATGAGATCTATAAATAAGATTCATGCCTAGGGTTGCTTGTAAGCAGTTATAATTCACACACAGTGTATTTTGACATCAAGACAACCAATCCTAAAACCCTAATTCCTCTCTCTATCTCACGGCTATCTCTCTCCTCCCCTCGTCCGTACGGCCGGCCACCCTTTGGTGGCGCGTGTGGTGGTTCGTTGCTCGCTCTTCTTCGTAGAAGGTCAATTGAAGGGTTCAATTGCAACTAACTAGCATTAGTGGAGGTCTTAGTATGTGCCCGTGGATTGGACCAAGTAGAGGAATCACGCTTGGGGTTCTTTATCTCCCATTGTTCTTGCTCGATCGCACGTGGAATCAGGCTTCAAAGGTACAATTATATGTTCTTTATGTGCTATGAATTAGATCTTAGGTATTGTATGAATATGATTCATGTTTATTCCATAATTAGTACCTATAAACTCCTATAGTGGTATCAGTTAGCCTATTGCATTTACGCATATTAACAATAATTCTTTGATAATCCACAATTTTAATTCAATTAAGAGGGAGAATAATTTAATTATGGGCCAATTATTATATTAAGTGTTATATAACTCTTGGAATTGATTAAATATGATTTAATAATGCTCAAAATAGCCATGAAGAGATCCGAATTTTGCCCTAGATTACTCGAAAATTTTGACCCCCCAAACCCTAATTTCGAAAATTTCGAAACCCTAACCATAAATTATGAATTTTGTGTTTTGTTATTGATTTAATTCATTTGATATGTAATTTATAATTTTAATCTATTTGAATTCATGATAAATTATGAATTTTTCATGATCAAATTATTTAATTTAAGAGTTAAATTAAATTGGGGATTAATTTTATGAAAAACCCTAATTTCAAGATTAAAAGTGATTTAATTTTGAAATTAATTGGACCACATTAACATTAATTTATTTTACAAAATATGTTTTGTTTTATTTAAATTAATAATAAAAAATAGGGGTTTTTAAGCAGCGGCAACCGCGGCTGGGTGGCGCAGCAACGGCGGCTGCCGCTGCAGGTGGTCCGGAGGGAGGGGCGGGTAGGGCAGGAGGACGGGTGAGAAAATGTAGCAAACTGTAGCACAATGTAAGGGTTGCGCGGCACTGCTGCTGTTGTGCACCGTTGTAGTGCAGCGTACACCTCACGGTGTACGGCCACCGTGGCTGGCTTCGGCTGGCCACACCACGATGTCTGGTGCATGATTTTCAAAAAAAAAAATTGTTGTTGGATAATATCATATTTCAAAATTTAAAATTTATTTTGATTTTGAAAAAGATAATTACCAAAGATAAAGTTGTTAAGTTTGTTAATTTTGGAGAAATATTGTTTATTGTGAGATAAATTCAAATCTTTCAAAATTTGTAAAGTTTGATATTATCTATATTTAAAGTTGTTATTTTGATAATTATCCATAGTTAAAGTGGTTAATTTTGGATAAGATTTGTTAGGATATTCTGAGCTTATTCCAAAAGGATAATAATTGTTTTAAATAATGTGATTATCCCATAATTATTTTTGGATATAATTAATTTAAAATTTTATGATTGGCTAGTAATTAGGATAGAATTTCTTAACTTTGTTAGGATAATCTTTGAGGATAAATATGATTTATCTTTTAAGATTAAAATAAGATTTGATTCTATCTCCTGACTAATTTAAAATATACGATATTTTATTGATAATCATGAATAATATATGATATTATCTAATTGCATTATTAAAATATGAGATATTTAGATGTCATGTTTCCTTAATTGTGAACATTCGATGTTGTAGTTTAGGAAAGCATGATGAGTGATTTATTATGTGGCAATTTTATAATATATGATTTTGTTTATTTCTATATAATGACTAGTATGGCCCAGTAGATTACTAAATACGATCTGCGCATTGTGATGTATTTCTGTAATCTTAGTACGGTCTACGTACCGATAAAGTATTTTTGTAATTTTATTTCATTTTATTTAAGTAGTAGATAGAATAGAGTAAAATTATAGGTTGCAGTTAACCCAAGAAGCCCATGAAGTGAAGGCCCAAAGGAGCAAGGTGGATGAGATCCATGATGATTCAAGTGGGAGCATTTACTTTATTAGTTTTCTTAGGATTAGGGGCCATGCTATGTCTTATTTATGCATTCATTTTATTATGCATGTTAGATTTTATTTATGTTGTTTGATGATGTGCTAGAGTTCACTAAATAATCACAACATAATAAATCTAGGTCCCGGTAATATTGAGGTAGCTTTTCCAATTTAAAACCCGATGAAACCTTTGATATTTATGATGGGTCATGCCTCAGCTGGGTGTCATAATATATCTTTGGGGAGTGGGGGTAAATCACGTTTTATAGTTATAATTGGTTATACTCTACAAGGTTACCTAAAGAGTTTAGAACCTTGAAGCTAAGGGTAATAATTAAATATGTGATGGGTAATTATTTAACCAAGAATTACAAGAGTTGTAATCAGTAAAGATTTTACTCACCTTGAAAATGTAATGCTTGATGGTAGGGCCTCAGTCCGGTCAACTATTACACAAATAAAGGTTCTTGGAATCATTTAATTCAAATGGGATCAATTTAATATTGAATAAATGTTTTAAAGTTACCAATTAAATTCGCTTATGGTACTTTAAATTTTATTAATCATAATTGAATTTTGTGTTTATTTATAAGTAACATGACGTTCTAATTTTATTATTATATATAATCTCCTCGATTGAAAAACTCAAATATGAATAATTATTGAATAGACTTAGCAAAATAATGAAAATTGCTTAAAGTAGTTAAGCAAAGCATCATTTTGAACCTAAAAAAAGAAATGTTCTAAATGGCTCAAATGGGAAAGGTTAAGGAATATATGAGGATTGCATTAAGAAATAGGGCAAGAAATGCAAACAAGTTGCTACTTCTGAAACCTAGAACTACTTACATGTTAAAAGTTGTTATGAACAACAAATGTTTCAAATTAAATGGACCAATTCCAATTGATTAGAAACTACCTCATACAGTTGGAAGGTAAAAGAATGGAAATGTTCCAACTTAAGAAGTATAATATAGAAATTGATTTAGCACATTGCTCATTCTTGGACATATGATTTCTTGTTTATTTCTCTCTCATTGAGAATGAATTTTAACTAAAGGAAGAAGTTATGGCTAAGGGAGAAATGAATCTACAAGTTTGGAAGCAAAAGTTGCAACTTCACAAGTAGAACTTATATTTCACCTTACCTAGTTATTGACTAAAATTTAATAAATATTATTCATTCTTGTCATTATCAAAACACACCCATTCAATATTAGTAATGACTAAGCATTAAAGATTAAAAAACATGGACTAAATGTTATTTTATGCTTCATTGAGTCATAATATGTTTTGAATTGCTAAATATGTTTAAAGTTCTATGTGATAGAAATTATTAAACCATTTCTATATATAATTTGTCTCTAATATGTCAATTAATTCGAAGGAAAAATAAACATTTCATGCGGAAGAACCAAATGGATGGACTTTCAATATCATTAGATTGTGAATCTATTGATATATGTAATTATCATTCTAATTTGATATTCTGACAAAGTCACCATTTAGAGAAATGATGATGCAAACTCAAGGTCGAATACATATCGATTTAAGAAAACCAAAGGTGCAAAGGCTAGAGACGAACAATAAAACTTCATTTGTGATATGATCACATGTGCTTAGTTGTAGCATAAGTGTGAAAATATTGAAAAGTTCAAAGGGTTCGGTATGAAGTTCAAAATCAAATTGACAAGATAATAAATACACTAC